CAGTGGGACAATACATTGTATGTAGCTAAAAACAGAAACCAAATCCACAAGTGTGTTTATGTTTCTTGCTACAAAGTGAGCTACACTGGCGTACTAGAGGTGATGATATACAGTTCACACACTGCAATTAAAAACTAATTCTACCGATACTCAAAATGCAAGAACATGAGTTGTTACTCAATTCACATAAAAGGAAGATCAGCTTCAGAACTTATGGAATGAGGCATGGAAATTCAGTTTTGTTTACACTTAACAAGCTGAAACGGCATTTGTTCAAATGTAGTAAATGGTAACTTTATGTGTGGTCTAGACATTGCAGTTCTTTTTAAGAACTTGGTGTCAGACCTGACTATTTCTGACTGAACGCTCTGCAGCTTGCAACATACTATACGTAGCAATCAGCATGCAACGTGATTAGTATGCACTGTGCCTGAAACCTCAGACTTGGTACAGTGGCTGCAGAAGGTCCACAGCAACATGGCATATACTCTCACTTCACCAGGTTTGTATAGAATAGAATAGAATAGAATAGAATAGAATAGAATAGAATAGAATAGAAATACTTAATCTATCCTAGACCTGGGAAATGATTTTGTTACAGCAGCAAAAAGAAAACACCAAATCACAACAAGTTAGAAAATATGGTAAATTAAGTCTATAAAAAACAGAATAATAGAAAAAGGGCTAAAGTGAACACAGTGTGACAGACTAAGAGCAGAATGACTATTGCAAAACTACAACATCAACAGAAATGTGCAAGTTGAGTTAACTGTGTAGGTTATATGAAATGAAATAACATGAGAATGAAAAATAAATAACAGGCTCAATACCACTAACCGGCACTATTTAACAGTGCAGTAACCTTAAAATTAACAACAATGAAGATATCAATTAACCAGATAAATACTATAAAAAATGTATAGGTATTCAGCTTTCAATAAACATTAAGAGCATGCACACGTCAGTCTTTGCAAATCATAAATTTGCCCTCGTAGTCATATGGTTTTATGTCACATTAAAGACACGATCAAAACTTTTGACAGCATTTAAACATTCTGTGTTCACCACAGTTGATAATGCCTGTTGAGCCATGTGACATAGAGTAAATTGCTGCACCCAATCTATACGGTGTGACCCAGATCTCAACATTGACCCTTTACCCAGAGTGACTTTTTTATCTGTCTTCTTACCAGAAATTAAGCCACACTCTTTTTGTCATCTGTAAGAGTGTGGCTTCTTACCAGAAATTAAAGGCAGTTTGTAGGGGAAGGCTGATTTTAGGGAAATAAAGCTCTAATGTGAATTTAACAACAATGGGTATGGTATCTGACCACATCTCTTTAAAAAACTGTGTGAGTCTAAAATTTGAAATGCCGCTGAAGATAGCAGAATGAGTGAAGACCTAACAGGAGAATTATTAATCATCATCTGCAGTAGCAAGCTGTTGGGTCACTGGCCAGCTGCCTGCTCTGCTTATAGGCTGACAAACTGAGTGATTGATTGGCTGTCCAGCTTATTGACTGACAGACGGACATACCCGCAAGCTAGCTGGTGGAGCTACATAGATGGCAAGTGGGGTGACCAGTGGTTTGGCTGGTTGCCTGATTACTATCTGAAGTCATGCTGGCTGGCCGACAGGCTGGTGATGATCCTGATGAATGTCACACTGTTGTTTGGACTTCTAACTGACTGATAGACGGGTGATCAATCTACAGTTCTGGAGTCTGGTGGTCACATCGTGCAGTACCTCAATTTGGACACTAGATTGTGCACTCTTCTAAAAATTCAAGACAATCTAAATTTAGAGATTAATAAATTGAACGGGTAAACATTTGAATAATTCTAACTGTAACCTCCAAGTGTTCTTATATCTTCATTATTTTTAAACATCACTGTATAGTGCTATTGTTTACTGTTTGCATCTATGTGTGTGTATTGTATGCAAGTGTCATCCACTATGAGAGTTAGAAGCGACTGCAACCTAAGACCACACACACATGTCCACACAGAGAGCATTATTGTTTCCTAAAGCTCTCTCATGAGGGTGTACAGCAACCCTCAACTCATAGAGGGGGGGATGAAAGAGAAAGAGCAAAAGAGCCCGAGTCTTTTAGAAAAGGCTCAGTGAAAGAAGAGTTGTGTTCGATAAAAATCACAGAGGATCTTTCTTTTTCTCTCATCATTAGCTAATTTGTCATCAAAGAAAATAGACATAAGGGAGTAATATACTGCGAGGTGTTGCCTTCATGACAAGTGATAACATGCTGAATCAACTGATGAGTGTTAAAATCAACCAACTGCTCTCCATCTTTATGCTCATGAAGAATCCTTAAGTAGTATTTATCAAACTCCAAAGCTCTTATTCAAAAAGTTTGTTACATAAAATCATTGTGGGTGTAGTATGATCAGACTTGACAGACTTAACAGACTGACAGTTTTGGCAGCATAAGCAAACAAACCCCACAACTGCCAGTGTATTTTCATTTTACTGTTGCTAAATTTTACATGGAAAATACATGACTTGACATTTTCCCCACTTTAAACCAGAGAAAAAAAGCAAGAATAAAAACATAAACATTTCGTGTGTGGGATAACCAAAACTAACTTTGGCAAGTCTTAATATCTACTATGTACTTTTCATTTTCAGTAATGCAAAAGGAAGAACTTGGTTGTGAATTTTATTTAATCTCATTAATGCCGTTTCTGCTTTAAGAGAGAAAAACAAGCTGAAGCTGAATTTAGACATCAAACAGCTCTGGACATGAGACTGTCCACCCAGAGAGAAACTGGCCTTAGGTCAGTTAAGTGAGGGATATATTTATACTATTGTTCTCCATAGACACTTCCTTTCCTGCACACGTCTATTCCTACTCAATTGTACTGTACATAATCGATGAGCAGTGAACAATGCAAGGCTCACAGCACTGACACATGAATGTACTTTTGACCTCTCCACAGGAAAGGACACTGAGCACCTGTACTGTCTGCAGCAGTCTGTGCCTGAGTATGGACATATGTGTGTGTGTTTTCATCCAGAATGGAAATGCAAACACACCTGGAGTAGCAATGTAGCAGAGCTGACAGCTATACTTTCACACATGTTATATAATACCTGGAATACAGCAGCTCCGTGTACGATCAGCACACACACAGACACAATGAGTGAGCCACGTACTCTGTTGACACTTGCTCACCACCCTAACTGGACCAACGAAACAAACACCAAGTTCTATTTGTGTATGTGTGTGTGCAGGTTTGAGTGTGGATGAGGTTAGCTCCCACATGTGCAACCTGCTCTCGTGGGAAGGACTGAGTTTGCTTTTCACACTGAGATGTTAGCATCCAAACACATGAGCTAATAGATGGAGGACATGATTGATGGATGGAAAGAGAGAGACAGGATGATGTTAAATATTAAAAAGACAAAACAAAAAAAAAGCACGCGGAAGAGAACAGATGCTACTATCTCTCGTGTGGTTAGGACTGTTTCACACTGAACTCCGGTTATGTACAGTCAGTACAACATGTGATGTTTGATAAGATTTTGATGTAACTTGTAAGAAAAAAAGCACAGCTCACCTTTGAATTATGATGCTCTTGATCATAAGTCAAAATAAGACGAGAGTTGTGATGGGCTAATGGTTAGTGTGGATACCACATAACTGCAAAGTCAGCAGATGACCTGTGTTGCATGCTCTTGCTTCCTGCCTGCTTTTTTCTCTCCTAGCCAACAAAGGCAGGAATGAGACCATATAAGAGATCTCATTGTTTATCTGCAATTTGTTACTAACAGGTCTGTAAGGACAGTTTGTCCTGTCAGAGGGTTCAGAATGAATTAAGCTGTACTTAAGAAAATGCCCTGAACCCTTATTTTTATTATTATCATCAGTGTTATGTTGTTCCTTTAATTTATTTTTTTTTAAATAAAGTAATGCAATAAGTTTAGGTTTCCAACATCAGTTACTGTTTAACATCATTGTTTTACCCAAATAACACAAAGACTTGACAGAGATGCAAGATGAAATTTAATTCAGTTATGATTTAAATCAGGCAACATCAATTATAAAGAAGAAGTTAACAGCCCAGCAAGTGTTCTGGGCCAGATCTCAGTTCTCAACCTTTCCATTTGGTTTGTGTTCCAACAGTACTTAGATTAGATATCCTGCCTGAGCACAGAAGAGCTTATTTGTGGAATATGCCTACCGTTTCTGGTGTGATGTCCTTTTATTACATTAATTTTAAAACAGAAATTATAAGAGCAAAAAATGACCAAAACCTCAACAGAATGATGTTAACTGAATGATAACCTCTCAGTCACCATCTCTCTTGAAGCTGGGACTCAGGTGGTGTGTGTGTGTGTGTGATATGATTTAAAGCAGAGTAACAGCAGCAGCACAGAGGCAGCTGCTATGATTTAAAGATCTATAATCATTGCAGTCCAGGAGCAATTGCATTAACTTCTGCTAAGACTGATCTTCCTACTGAAGCCTGAAGAAACAGCTGATTGGTGTTTCATGCCCCGCGTTGGATTTCATACATTTACTTGGGTTTTACGAAATCTGTTCACCGTTATTTCACCTGGCAATATGACTTTTTCTTTACAGCTGCAGTGTTTTAACAGCAGGGTGGAAAGAGGCGGTTTGAGGTTTTGTGTAACTGGTAGTATTACTTTTATCTTCTACTACAGTATATACTGAGCAGACTTGCAACTTATGGCTACATTGTACATTCTGTGCTAGCTTTTTGTGTTTGTGTGTTTCAGCTTTTTATAACCAGCTCCTACAACACTGTAATGTGTATGTGCAGGAAGAGTAACAAGCTGTTGATTCCTGTGAAACATACATTTTTAGTATGAAAACCTAAATGCAAAATATTTACAATGGTTCCAATAAAATGTAGTAGAATTTAAACTACCAATAATATACAGTAACAGTAGTTGCAGCTGTAACTGTAGGACCTTTGTCAATGCACTGTGCACAATATACCAGTGTTGCTCTTACCTTAACATAGTCCACTGTGGCGTCCAGGCCAGCAGCTGGCTCCCTGGGGAACACAGACAGAGACAAGGTCCGATTTAGAGAACACATCTTGCCAGTGGAACCCAAAGCACTGAGTGGTGACCTTTGGGTTCTCCCTATAGTTCCTATTACTGCAGAGCTTTCTGTATTAGATACAAGTCCAGGTGATTCCCTAAATGGTGCTGATGCTGCTTCTTTAGCCCTCCTCGGCTCTTTTAGCAGATTATATAGCTCAGTGGAGGTGTGACACTTTCTAAAAAGGTCTAAATGGATTTCACTGGTCCAAACAAGCGTCCATCTTAGCCATATGCTTGACCAAGGAGGCGAACCTGTACTATAAAGCTGAACGTTAACTGTAGTGGTAATGTTATCCAAAGTTCACCAGGTTCCACTTTGCAAGTGGGTTTCTCAGAGAGAAAAAAGTCGAGTGAAACCAAACCTCACACTAAACTGAGTCTCCCCCTTTTCGCTGTCCTACTCGCTGCCTGTCTCTCACTCTTTCTTTCTCTCAGTCAGTGGTAAACATGTTCACTCTCTGCCTGCCTGACTTGGCCTCCCTCCCTCTCTCTCCTCCCCCACCATAACACACATCGCAGCCACACGCCTACCATTCTGAGTCCACTGACAATTTCACAGAGAGGTTAGAGCACACACGCAAAAACAGCACCAGCCGCTTTTTCTTAAATCACTCTTTTTTCTTTTTTTTTTTTTTTGCGTTTTTCTTTGATTCCTTTATTCATTCAAAAACTGCTTACAGTCACATCACATAGTTTGACCTTTTCTGTCTCTTTCTCCTCATCTTGGTCGAGCAGCAGTTTCATCTGCTTTTATTGACTGATGCTGATTAAAGGTAAGATTACACAGAGAACATTTTCCAAAATTGTATTTTGGCATTTTGTTTCTTTTGACCACCAGCACAAAGTCCTCTTATTTTGTTACTTTAAAAAATCCACACATGTACACTCCAGTACTTCTATTGCTCTCCATCTTTGCCATGAATATTGGTACTCGAGTGCATAAATGCAGCTCAGAGTCTCTCTCCACAGGAGGCTTACGTCCAGGGGCTCAGGGAAAGAGGTAATTAGCTCAAATCCCTAGCTACATTAGCAAGGTTGCTAGTTTAAATCCCTTAAGCCTGCACTGGTGTTCCCACGGGAATATTAGCACAGTCCATTACTTACCAAACCAAATATGTTTAGCTCTAAGCCCTCTCAGTTTTAATATGGCCCCTGATAATGAGTGGGATTTAGTTATGTAACTGAACAGAAGCTTCCATTCACAACAATGTATAGTCATTATTCATAGAAGGTAGAGTGCTCAGGCCTTTCCGTCACCCTCGGGATCGACTGCAGATTGAAGTTTGCAGAACCACGAAAGTGCAGTATATGGCAACTGATCCTATTTTACATTACTAATCTAGCATATCTATAACGCTGAGTTGCAAATCACCTGTTGTAGGCTGAAAAATTACATGTGATACGCTGCAAAAATTTTGATAATCAAAGATGAGTATTTATTGCTTTACACGTGTATTTTATTAGCTTAAGTTACAGTTTACTCATATTTAAAGTCAGAACAATTTGTGAATATGTGGTAGGCTGTGCAATATTGCAGAAACACTTGATAAAATGTTTGCTTTCACTCGATACCAATAACTTTTAATTACCTACTTAGAATAATGACCTGCAGTAAAAAGGTTTCATTTAAGTTCAACCATTTTATCCATTTTAGCCTGTTTATCTAGGTACATAGGCAATAACTAAATACATTTAAAGACAGATATAATAATAATTAAGGATTAAAGAATCATCTGATCTTGATACAGAATAAATAAGGAAAACCAGCAAAACCTAAAGGTGGACAAAGAGCAACCAGGGCAAAGTTGCCGCCCTGTATTAAGGTTCCAAGTGACTAGATATGACTATGTATCACTAGACAGAGATCCCAACATCAAGTCCTTCAGTAAGCTGCCAGAAGTTTGACGGTGGTGGGGGACGCATGGCTGTGGGTGTTTTTGGCCTGCGAGGCTCAACTCCACCAGCTGCAGCCTCCACCAGGAAAGGTCTCTGCACATAAGTGGAGGCAGCAAGAGGACCAGGCAGCAACTGACTCGTGGTTGATTTGTACAGAGGCCTTGGGGAGAAAAACGGTGGGAGAAGGGACTCCACTATGAAGGTATGATAGGCTGTTATAGGCCAGAGAGGGAGCCTGGTATTTGTTCCTACAACCTAACCATGTTTTTTCATCACATGCTTTCATGGAGGTTTACATCTGGTGCATTCAACTGAAACTATCTAAAATTATATCAATAAGTTTCTTATTGCAATTTATAAAGTTTCAGTTGCATGCCACTATTAGTTTTCCATCTGGTTCTACTAATATATGCAAAAATGTATTCATTTAAAAGCAGCCAGACCTGCTTCTGTTTCACATTATACAATTTTGTACTGTAAAAAGCTAATTGGTCATCTGCTACTTTATGAGCAAACACAGTGTAAATACATAAGAGCTCGAACTCTCAGTTATTTTCATTATAGCTTAATCTCTCCACAATGTTTTCAATTAACTGTTTAGTCTATAAACTACAGAAAATTCATAAAAGACAGCATTACAGCGCCCAAGGAAGCAACTTCAGATTTCTTGTTTTGTGCATTATTGTTTGTTTCTAAGATTCCAACAAATGTTTTTGATGAATTGATGCTACACATGTAATTTAGAATGTTCCCATTCTAAAAATAACTTTTGGTGGTTGTTTTCCTTACAGTGATCAGTGCACAACCTCCCGTCACAGTTTACGTGGCGATATGATAAAAATGCAGAGACAGATTTGAAAGAAAAATTCAGCAAGTTTCTCTGGTCTCAAATCAGACATTTCGTTTGAAACTGACCATTCATTATAGTCATGTGTTGCTTCTCCCAGGTCAGCGGTTGGCTTGACCTTTGGCTGGCCCAAAACTATGACCACACCAACCACCTGCCCCTCATAACCCTGACTCTCTAACTCTTAGGTGGGTGATGAGAGCACCACAGACAGACAACACCCATTTGATTCCTCGTGGGTTAAACATGCTACAACTCAGGGAAATTCCATTTTTCCTCAGATTCAGGCAGGTCAGAGGTCAGGTTCACAAAAAGAGCAGAAGCCACTGAGCTGATAGAGATTCATTGTCTTACACTCAGTTTGGTGGTTTTCACCACCTTGCATCTTGATGGATGTGTTTTACGTCTTTATTCTTCCTTGACAACATTTAGAAAAGCCTCACTACAGCACTAAAATAAATTAAACAAAGTGTGGTGGATGTGAGATGGTTAGGCCCAGGCATTCCAGACTACACAAGATGACCAGTGCTAAATTTGTCTTTTTCTAACCATGATGCTGAAACAGCATCAGACACTGGATTTTTCTGCTTCTACAACCACAAAACTGATGTGCAACACAGGAAAGGGCAGAGAAAGAAAGACAGAAAAAGTAGAAGTGAGTGAGCGAGGAAAAAAAAAATAACAAGAGTAAGGAAGGCAGAGGCAGGCAGCACTCGCCACAGTCTTTTTCTGGCTACTGTTGTTCTTTGCGCTTCACCACACAATACTCAGCATGACCACAGTTGGCTTTAGTTAGGGACTACACCATATTTGTGTGTGTGGGAGAGAGAGAGAGAAAGACTGGCAGTAGGAGCAATGGAAAGAGTTGATGGCAGGATGCAGAGTCAGCCAGCAGCCTGTAGAGGTCAGTGTGTTCCCAGTATACAGAGTAAGAACCTCTGTGTAAAGTCTGAATTTGATGTGTTTCCAGACTATTTCTCTGCTTTACACTCATCATATTACACCACAGTACAGTTAGAATACAAAAACTAAAATAAAATGAATGTGCCTTTACTCTACTAGTTCCTCATCAACTAAACATGAGACACTAAAAGACATGAATCACTGTGCAACTTTGGAAAGCTACTGCTGTAAATTTGTTTCCACTGCCTACAAGTAATTCTCCCCCAGAATCTCAGTTATACCACTGATTACAATATGCTTGACCTTTAAGTGTGGTGTTGATGGACACAACTGTCCCACAATGCAATGCCATAATGAAATGCAGGGTGCTGGTAAATAAATAAGTAAACGCATGAATCAATAAATAAATGAAGCTAATTGTGAACAGAGCTGAAGCAGCTCAAGGAACACCCTAACACACAAAGAAGAACTACTACATATTTGGAAAAACACTCTGTTAACTGCTTGCAATGTATAATTGTGAGTAATATTTTAAAATCTGGTATCATTTTGTGTGAGCACACAGTTGTAACATTTCTGTCTTGTGTTTCAGTTTGGAAAATAGCACAGGTGTGAGTCGCTTTTCCTTCTAAGTTGTGCAATTCCCTGGCCATGAATAAAATTATCGAGGCTTTTTTAAGTGAACTTATAGTCACTTTTAAGTGTGAACAAGCCACTAATTAAAACTCTGTTGGAATTACTCAGTAATAGTAGGAATGTAGAGACACATCAGGTGATTTGCTGGATAGCCTGAGGACTGACAGTTTCCATATCTGGTTTACAATACAAACACTTTTTCCAGTGCTTAACGCCATATCATCTATAAAATATTTTCTTGCAGCATCATTAGAAATATGTGATTACCGTTTGCTTAAATAAAAAATCCATTTTGTTCCATGAATATCTGGATATAAATCTTGGTCAAAAATCCTCCCTCTGATTTACAGCACAGAAGCGTCCATCTATCATAACGTCATCGTGTTTTCTCCCTCAGTGTGTCACACATATGGGGATAACAGTAATCCGATGTGATAATGCAAAGATTGTAAACTGATTAATATATCAGTCTTTTAGTTGCATTGTGTCTATCTCTGCTCTTTAACACCTGTAATATTCATTTTTGCTCCCTCCTTTCCACTCTTTCCGTCTGTTGTCTTTCCTTCTCCTCCCCCTCCTCTCCTGGTGGTCCTCCGCTGCCCACAGAGGTCAACATAAAGACAAACTGACCAATCGGGAGCTAGTGCAACATAAGTTCAGGGGTCAGAGGTCGGCTGACAGCATGGCACTGGAAAGTCAAGACCGGCTGGCCATTGGTTACATACCTTAAAGATACACTCCTTTATCTTTTTACAGAAAACTTAGCTGTGAGCTACGTGGAGTTTCAACACTATTATGGAAGTTGGGAGGAAATCATGGAATTGGGGTAAACTACTGAGTGGTTTCATCACAGACAATCTGTACAAACTTTTTTTTCCCCTTAATATTAAAGTGATTGCAGTTTTTTAACCTTCTTGTCTAGATCAACAGCAAAATATTTCTTTAGATAAACTAGGATACCACTTTTCATGTAAATGAAGAAATAACTTTAATTTGAGAAAGGTATTGGAAACAACATTATTGGACAAAAAACTTCATGTGAGATCAAGCAGTTGACAGCCATATAGTTCCTTACCTAGGAAAATATGTCATATTATATAATATAAATTTGTGAGGTCATTAGTAAGGTAATTAGATTATCAACAAGTGTTGTTCCGTGATCTCCACATAGCTTGAAGTGAGGCCAGTGCTAGCTCATGTTAATCAACACCACCATCCCGCAAAACTAAAAATATCTCTCATCGTAGTGATGTTTTTTATCTCACTGCACTCATTTATTTATAAATCAAACTGAGACTACAGTTTAAGACACATCTCACCGATCCTTTTAATTACCACTTTAGGAATGAGAATAGAATGAACCGATGCCTATAAAACTGTACTGACTTCATGAAAAATGAACTAAACTCAAAGCGAGAGTATGATGTTGTTCATTATTTAGCCACCTGCGCAGGCCGAATTCAACCTGGACAAATTGCCCTGCTGTATGTCAGCAGCATATGAAATGTATCCAGCAGGAAGGCAGAAAGATAAAGAGACGAGACAAAGAGTTCACAGTAAACTCTGATCTGCAGTGCCACACCCTGACCTACAAAGGTAACCTAACTGCTGGGGGCTACATGCACACAGCCACAGACACACACGTATGTGCACACAAAGCTGGCTACATCAGATACAGTCTGTTGTAACTCTACACTAGAGATAGAAAGATGGGACGACATGATGAGGGATGAGGTGTGTGTGTGTGCATTTGTGTGTGTTCCCTCTGAAGTTGAGCTAACTACGACGCCCCCTCAGGGTTTTCTTTACAACCTCCCCTGTCTCCATCCAGCTCCAAACTCTCTTTCTTTTTGCACCATGAAGAAGAGCTGTCTGAATATTCAGCATATTTCCGTCAGACCATGATGAGCCTTGATGATGGACAATTTCAAACTAATGTTTAGACTCCCAGGACACCCCTTTAACACTCACTTTAATTCTTTTCAGTATTAAATATAATGTGGTAAATATAAAATGGCTCTTACAGATTTCTATCAATGAACAAGCTACAAAGTTTAAAACACTTTAAAACTACCATTTTAGCTGATATTACAGTGGATTTTTGTATCTCTAAGAAACGTTCTTGGTGGGCTTGCTAAGATTTACTTTAATTGCTTCCTGTTTTTTTCCTGTTTTTTCTCTAGCTGATAAGCCAACTGATCAAACTGTACTATTTGTGACGGAAAATATTTGCCCTGAGAGTGAAAGAACAAATCACAGACTAAAATGGACATTATCCACTTACAGAAACATTATCCACGACTATCTGTGTCAGTACATGTGTTTACCTGTAACCGTGGAAGTCATCAATGACATTTTGGACCAGTGATGAGGTCATGGGTTGGTGGATGTGCCCAGGAGCTAGTAATGTGTTCCCGCAAAGTAATGGCTGCGTGTGATTGGTTTTTGGGTCCCAAGTATAGTTTCCATGGGCGAGGTTGGCCCCTCCTCTCTTGCGTCGAGGCAGAGTTCCATGAATGGAGATTGGCTGGTAGGCAGCGGTGGGCATCTCTGATAGACTGCTGCCCTGCCCTGGAGGGAGACTGCAGGAGAGAAAAACGGGAAAAGGTTCAAAAGAGCAGTAAACTAAATTAAACACCTTGAGAAGACTATTTTTTATAAAGGTTGAGGGGTTCAACAGTTTTTGTCAATTTAAAATGAATTACATAAAAGTGGTCCTATGAAGTTTTCTTGTGAACAAATTAAAGTTCTTGGTTCACATTCGGTGCTGCTCACCAAAATACATATATTGTGTATCTGAGGCCCCATTTACATGTAGCAAAAACTGTGACATTTCAATGCGTTTGGGCCGTTGGTTTACACTAAACGAAGCAAAACAAGTCATCAAAAACGATCATATCTGAAAACTCTGGCCAAAGTGGAGATTTGGAAAAACTCGGGAGGAGACGGAGTTTGACGTCACAGTATGCGACAAAAGCGTCATCAGCGTCATATGTATGCGACCATGTTTACAGTTTTTCTACTGTGATAGAAAGTCAATATTTTCAAGTATTTTACTTGATTTGTACTCAAGTACCACATTTAGGAGTAGCTACACTTCTCTGTCAGTCCAAACAAACGACTTGTAGCAAAGATGTTCATTTTGTCCTCAAAGTACAAGTAGACTTAAGAATTTCTTTGTAATAGGACAATGGTATGAAGTTGTTAGCTGTACCTTGACATGTTTCGGCGTTCCATCTGTCGACACTTCTGAAGAAGGCAACAGATGGACGCCGAAACATGTCAAGGTACAGCTAACAACTTCATACCATTGTCCTATTACAAAGAAATTCTTAAGTCTACCAAACAAACGACTCTCGCACCATTGTCTTTGAAGTAACAGGAAATAATTTGTGCCATTTGTTGTGTTTTTTCCAGGATTCTGATTGGCTAGCATGACTTTATGCTTCTCGTTACACTGCCCCCTATAGGTTTGGCATGCTCATAGCAGGTCTTAACGACGTGTTTATGCGGGTTTGTGTAAATTCCGATTTTTTTTAAAACAATCTGGTGTTGACAACGTTATTTTTGAAAACGTAGATCTGCTTTTGTAAATACCCAGCTATGTGTAAACGTAGCTTGAGTCTAAACAAAGGTGGCAAGTACATTCAATATTCAGCGAGTATTTCAGTCACACCCAGATGATTCTGCCATGATTCACTGAAGACCAGTTTTTATGATGCTCTGAGCCACTGTTGGTCATTCAACTCACCCGGGTCTAGAGCTGAGGAGGTCCATGGAGGAGGCGAGGGAAGCCTGGAGCCTCCTGGAGGAGCAGGTGGTGCTGCTGCTGGGAGCACCAAGAGAGCTGCTGGGTACTCCGGGGTGGGCAGGGCCTCCAGCTAAGGTGTGGTGTGCATGAAGGGACCTGGGAAGACTGGCAAAACGCCCTTCTGCCATCATCCTAAGCTCTGGAATTAAACACAGACAAATAGATATGACTTGAATCATATCTTCACCAGCACTGTAACACTTTGTATTTGAAGCTGATCTTTCCACAGATTAATGAATGAATGAACAGAGATTTTTTAGTTAAAGAAAGGCAGGCGAACAAACTTTGGAGGGTAAAAAGTTCCTCAAGTATGTTATAACCAGCATGCCTACAGTAAGCTGAGGCACACAGTTACATAACGACGGCACCACAAGGCAGAAGGGACAGGTGTAAAATTCTGCAACACACCGCTATGAAGACATATGATCTGAAACTAAATACATACTGACATACAGCGCTTTCTGAGATGACATATTATGATACATGATATGCACATAAAGAGAGCCAGGACAACGGTTGCTCCTTCTTAATACACTCACATGACTGACACATATTCATACCCTTTCGAGTGATCATACATACAAAAATACACACTAACGCCTTGCCTGGAGGGAAATATAACTTGTCATCACATAATATTATACAAGCAGTTGCAGCTAGGTAAGCTGACCTCTAAATATGTCTGAGTGATGACTGAGTGATCTTCTTGACATGTATGCAAACACACATCAAATAGCTCTATAAATATACTATATATTTGTCATTTGAACTAATAAAATCGACACGTTTGGATTGAGATCTCAGTAAAAGAAACTGCTCTGGGGGCTGCATTAGTTACAATTTAAATATAGCACTGCACTAATAAATCTGGACTACAGATATTTCCAACAATACTCACTACATTCTAGACAGTTACTAAGAAAAATGTGTAACAATCAACAATTATGTCCGTCTTTAGGTTGATTCCTCAAGAGAACTGTATAACACTGGCACAAAAATGTTTCTCCCTCAATAATAACTCAAATACAGCCACCAAGAATCAAGCTCAACATGTAGCAGTTACAATAAAAGAAACCTGAATGTGACTTACCAAACAGGACCGTCTAGTAGTTCAGTAAAAGACAAGACTTTTTACAAGACACAATGCTAACCTCGGCTTTCTGTTAGTTGATGTGAGAAGAAAATAGAGGTCTGACCCTCTGCCTCAGTGTCAAGTGGTATTTTTAGCAACAATCTCTAAGTATCATACCATGAGGAAATTCTTTAAATGCTTTATATTCCAGCAACGTCCTAAGAACCAGATTCTACTCCAGACTTTGAAAAAAAATTTAAAGAAAAAGCAGCACTCGGCACACTATTTTTACTCATGAGGTGGATTTGGTCTGATGACACACAGACACACGGACATAAACACACAGTGATGAACAAGACAGATAGGTTGGGAGGGATAAAAAAGAACACTGGGCAGGTTCTTGACAAATTCCCCTGCTGTGTGATGATGACTGGTCAGCACGCTATCATCTGCTCTGAATCACTCACCATCCTGCAGTTAGTCACACTGTACAAACTAAAATATCATGAGATAACAGAAATGTCGGCAGACTGGATGAAACGGACCCTTCGTATCTCATCAAGAATCTGACGTGAACAACAACGCTCCTGCTTGTAATTGTGTCTGCATTGGAACAACCTGATTATGATCAGAAAGTAGGCTGCAGAGTAAATTGTGGGGTTTGGCACCGTGGCGGTCTTGCCGGAAGCAGTCGGGCCAGACGGAAAGGCACTGTTTTGACCCAAAGGGATCAACACAGCTGCTGATGAAAATTAAATTGAGTTTGAAGACAGAAGACTACTGACTTCAGAAAACTACTAATTTCAAAATTCTAAGTTCTATTTGGTTAGAAGTGAACATTTTTATCATAAATCACTAATTTCCTGAGGAGGTGATATTAGATGTTATCAGTGCTGTTAAACATTTCTTAAAAGCTAACTGTGAGGAGTGAATGAACTGAAGAAAAAAATGACTAAACTAAAGTGAACTGACTTAAGTGTATCAGTTAAAATGCAGGCTTTTACGCATGTGCATGACAATAACAAAAGACTAGGTGCAATGAATAACACACAAAGAAGCAATACTATGAACATTTCAAGAATTTCACTCCACTATCTTGCCAGGAACTACATAAGAAGCTAGCCATTATTTTCCATCTGTGTGTGTTCAGTAGATCGATTGGTCCAGGACTGTTATCTAAGATAAGCACAAAGACTGAGAGCTGAGTAAACAGCTGGCCACTACCAACTGGGAAAAATATACCTTGTAACAGCAAAACTGCCTTGTTTGCATGTACCTTTGTGCTAGTCAGGAAGCTAACCACTAACAAATGCAAGGAGAAAATGGGTTTTGTTAAGATTTTGGTGACTATGCAAAAACTGGGAGCTCTACAGATCACTCAAATGCAAAAGTCAGTTCATCCACAATGTCTTTTAGGTGCTTCTACTGGTTTAGTACAAATGTTATATGTAAACAGGAACACTTTGTCTTTCTTAGAAGTCTCCTTTTATAGATCCAGGCTAACTGTTTAATCCGCTTCCACTGTTGTGTTAAACAAAGCTAAATGTCATGAAGTCAGCTTTGCACTAAACACACAGAGATGAAACTGATCATCTAACTCCCAGTAAGAAAGAAAACAAGCACATTATCTAACATGTTGGGGATATTTTGACAGTGAAATATTGTATATGCTGGTATGTCCTGTTACATGTAATAGAGATGTAAGTAAATAAACCAATGTGAAGTGGGAGTGTATTTATCAAGTTTTTTTTGTTTTTTATCAGATTAGTGTTTTGTTGTGGAAACACTGAGTCAAGTCAAGTCAAGGTAATTGATATAGCACATTTAAAACAACAGACCTTGATCCAAAGTGCTTACTAATAGAGGAATAAGGTGGAGGTTATAAATTTACCAAAGAAGCATAAACATTAAGGTTAAGACCCTACAATGTTAGTTATAATACAAATGCATCTATTCATTTTAGTGTGTAGTACAAATAACTGAACTGGATAACGGAAAATGATACTGCAAGACATTCAGAACACAGATGTGCTACAAGATGCATGTTTATAACGCACAAAGTTGACTTGACTTTCAGAAGGTACTCTAAATACATTTATTAGCCACAGCTGATGTTTGTCATTTTAACTGGCAAAAAACTATGTTCAGCATTAGCTTAAACTGAGGAGGCTGCTGAATTGCTACAAATGAGAAAAGACGCTTAAAAGATTGTTTAGTCATAAGTCTTGGAGCACAGCGAATCTGGGTAGTTTGCCAACTTTATACTGGATCTAAAGTAGAACAAAACACTCTTACTAGACTGGAGCAGGAGGACACTGAGCCACCAGCTTGTAATGATGAATGTCAATAAAAATGCAAATCTAGTTTAAGAGAAAGCAACAGCTGGCCAGGTCAAGACTCTTCAGTGTGACAAGTAAAGTTTATATACACACACAAACACACTGTAAAAGAATTGCTGAGGCATGCTGGGTCAGAGTGTGGTGGATTCCTCCGAGGGGCAGAACGACTACAGGAGGAGCACCTATTATAAGACCCTCTGGGATGGTCAGCTGTGAGTGCGTGTGTGTGTGTGTGTGTGTGTGTGTGTGTGCTCTGTTTTATGTGTGTGTGTGTGGCCCTGACCATCTGCCAGACACACACCCTCCCCTGCAGAGGAGAAAGGACAAATTCTCACTGAGCGAAAACACAAACACGTAGCACTTACGCACATGAATACTTGATCTATCAGTCTTTTAAATAAATTATTCATGCTAAGAGCTGAGAGGAGTGCAACCTTAAAAATTGTCACTCACTCTCCTGTCTCTTAAGTCCTCCCCATGTGCTCCTTCGATGCCATTCGTTTCCCTTTTCTGCCTTATTTCAGCTACTCCTCTCTCCCTCCCCATCCATCTTCCCCTTGCTCTTTCAGTCTTGTGCCCCCCTCCTTCTCTCTCTCTCTCTCTCTCTCTCTCTGTCCATCATGATGTCAGCTCTTCTTTTGCTTCCTGACTTCTTTTTTTCTTTTGTCCTCCCCCCCCCCTCTCATAATAATAGACCTTTCTTTTTTCTTTTTTCTCTTTCCCCTCCTTCTCCCTATCTTGCCTCATCCTCGCCTCCCTACAGCTGCTCCGCCACGGTCACATCGCCCTGCATCACACACACAAATGAGCAGTGGTATTTCCAACAACAAGTCTGATATTTTCTATATTAGGATAATATCACAAACTGCGTCGATATTTACCAAAAGACTGAAAAGGGATGCTATTCTTAAATGTTGGTCCACTTTTTAAAGTTTGTTTTCAGTGTTAACGTGGAGTAGTGTTGATATGATTACAACCAGTTTAACATAACCTGCCTACTGTCTTAGCTCAAATTACAGTTGAACTGCTAGATTTAAGATGCACTGATATCGACCGCCGAGCTCGTTATTTAGTATCCAGAGTTATGAAAGCACAAGTCATGTTTCACATTCTGCATACACAAGAAGCCATTCTGCTCTGCAAGAACTTGTGGACATTTAGGGCAACCAGGAACTTTGTGCGTAAAACTGTACAACTGTTTTAGGGTAGAAAAATGTACCTACCTAAGGATAGGTGCTTCTGAGAAGCTCTAAAAACTGCTGTGGTGGCTTTGACATTGTTTGGGTGAACTCAGAGAGGACCACACTGATTGGTTAAATTTGCAGAAAACAAAGAGAACCTTTTTTTCTGCCCTCTAAATGTCCTCAAAAGTAGCAGTCTTCTTCTTTCTAACATCGCCATAAAACAATATAAAATTCACCATACAGGTTAACAGTACAAACCAGCCTTTGCTCGATTTCCTACATGTTTATAGAACTAGAGTTTTGTCCAGTAACTACTAGTGGTCGTTGTTTTGATACACTCTAGTAACACTGTGGTTAGAGCTATTGGAAACTACTGCAATGGAAACAGAAAGGCCAAAAGTGCAGCTTATGGGGCCATATCTGTGAATGCTCTTGCCATGTCGCACCTGCCGCGAGTTCAGCAGCGGAAAGTGGTTTGTTGTTTGAAGATTTACAGCTGGAACAAAACTGAGTCTTAAATGTCCTCATAACTCTCTTTTTCTCGTTGTATATCAAACTAACTGGAACCTTAAATGATGTAAAGTTTCAAAGTTCAATCAAAGGTAAAATGATTAATGACGGTAGTCATAAACCTACAGTTGTGATAAATTATCCAGGAGACTCATGCGCTCAAATGCACTGGATCATTGAAGACACCTTGATACCCATGACTAGTGACTGACTAACATGTCACACTGAGGTCATTTTTTGTTGACATAGAAGATGCGGTATCAGCTAACCTGACGTCATTCTACCTAGAAAACATGTAAAGCTGCGTAAATCTAATTACCAATGGTTTGGCATTTTTTCAGCCAAAACTCATCAAAGAAAAATTTACTTGAACTTGTGATTGGAGACTCATACAGCACTTCTGAGATCTAGAGTCAGGCTTGAAAGAAAACATTGGAATGGAAATTTACAGTGGGAAAACCAGTAGCTTCACAGTTAAACAGACACCTAACAACCAATCAGACGTTTTCTCCTTGACCATGGTACAACAGACAAAACATTCTGAGACAAGGTTTGCGTTGTCACCAAATCTAGTGAAGGCCTTGGGTTGGGAACAACACCACACATGGAGACACACATGAGGCCTTGGGTGGGAAACAAGTGTAGATTAACAGGAAGAGGAAATGGCAGTGTAAACATTTAGACGACAGACAGCTCATTATAAAGGATTACTAGCAATAAAACAAATATTCCCATCTTATCCCTTCCTCCTTTTCACAGTATCTCTTGAGCTTTCTGTTGGTCTCAGAGGGCTGAGGACACAGCTTTCCTATTAAATTAAATTGAATTTAGTCCAATGTTTTGATGGTAGGCTTTCTCCCCATTTCTCTAGCCAACCGTACACATCAGTCAGGAGGCAGAAGGCTTTTTGTTAATCCACTGAAGTGGTGGTTTTAAAAACTGGGCTTTTTGTGGACCACCAGGAGTCCTTAGAAAGGTTCAGTGGGTCCCATTTATTTCACGAGGACTGGGGCCTTCTCTGTGTGTTTGGGAATTCAGAGAAGGAATCATATAAGCACTGTTTACAAAATACAAAATGAGCAACGAGATTAAAAACACATTCTACACAGTAATATGAGTTACACGTGAAATTGAGTTAAAACAGTAACTCTACCATACTGCGCACTGCTCTCTCATTACACACAAACATACACACAATAGGAAAGACAAACTCAAACATCAACATGCTTGGGAATGAGGGGTTTCCTCTCGCCGGCTTAAAGTGTCTTCCTGCTATGGCATGCATACAAGCACACAAATACACAAAAACACGCACACACAGCAGTGCATTAGCAAAACCACCCCTGGCCAGAAGTGAACAATGGGAACAACTGTCACATGACCACTGTGTAGAGGCAGCCTTTGTTAGACAGAGAGAGAGAGGTGTCCTACTGCGCTCTTCAGTGCGTGGGCCAACCAGTGTGTATGTGTGTGTGAAGGATGTGTAGAACATATTAATGAGGCTGTTATTAAATCCCACAGCAGTGGCTGCTATTTCATATGAATCTTTGTGTGTGTGTGTGTGTGTGCGTCTCACTTTCTCACATATTCACACCTAACTTCCCTCAGCTCCCGGGCTCATTTTGGATGTCTACACTGAGGTGTGGTGAAATGTGCTGGCTGTGTACAGTCACTGACCACCACATTGTGAGCCAGTCAGTCAGTGGAGTCAGTGATGGAAGAAGGATTTAGACCTTTCACTTCAGTCAAAGAAACAATACTGCAACGTGGACATACTACATTATGAGGAAAAGTCCTGCAAGACAAAGAAAATACTTCAGTTGTATAACGTTGAAGGTACTTGAAATGATGATGAACTAAGAGCAGAGTATCCAGAGCTGCACGAGTGATGTCAGCTGGTATAACTTCTGTGTTTAAACTACTTAATTAAAAAGTTGATAATTTATTATCTGCTAATGTGATAAAATGTTCTACTACTGCGCTGTGTGAAACCATACATTTTGTGATACACGTCATTTCACACTTGCATTTATGCTACTTATGACAGAACTATTTCATGGTATGCACACTTGATGTTGTCAACCAGAATGACAACATTCCATCATGCAGATGACAATAAAGACAAAATATTTATGAAAAAGCTTGACATGGAAGGAAATACACTTGTTTGCTTTTGTGCTAAGACTTTGACTGATAGCCCTCTATGTGCGTATAACAAGCATGAAGCTAGATCAAAAGAACAATTGGCTTAGCTTAAGGACTGGACACAGAGGAAAACAGCAGTCCTGTCTGGTTGGTGACACCATTTCACCTGTCTCATGACTGTAGTTTCACATTTAGTGCATTAATTATTCCCTGAAAAGTCAAAGTTTCCTTTTCATTAACATGTAGCAGTGTTCACACTGAAAAGCCCTTGTTAATGTTAATGATGTATAAGCTGGTCCAAGTAACTCTGAATTATTTAGTTATCAGCTGAACAGTTCAATCTGGATCTCGTTCTATGCGCCTATCACATGTTTTGTATGTATAAACTTTCTGTCTGCAAATTAACTGTTAGCGATATGGGTATCAGTGTAAGGCACTAGAAAGAAAAGTACATTAGTTTCCGAAGAAATGTAGTAAAGTTTAAAGATCCATAAAGTGGTGTTGATCAAGTGCCAGTGCCTTATAACTGCGTATACTGTAAGTCAAGAACATGTACTTTTTTACTTTCCAGCAATGCAGTCAGTCTTTGTGAAGATCAGCAGGTCACATAGTGCTGACGGGTAGCTGGAATACCAACCACCTAATACCAGTGGGGATCCAAGTAACACAACACCACACATACAATGCTGCCACTGGAAGTACACGACCATCACACGGTTAAAGCTGAGCTCTGTGAATCGGACCCAGACACACAGCAGCATTAATTAGGGGCTGAATTTCTTTGGGTTAGTTCGACTCCGCTACGATGTTCAGACGTGACACTGACTAATGTCTGAAACAACCTGCTGCATACATGTGTTTTTCTACATTCACGCTGCACAGACACATACAAACACACACATGCACTCATACGTCTATCTCTGTCATCATCTCGTGGGTGGCATGCTGTTTAAAGATGTGTTCTCATAACTGGAAGGTCAGAGTTTCAGCCTGAGCAGTAGTCGCTCAAGCTGTCAAAGTGAAAGAAAGTGAAGCCCTGTTTGCCTCATGTTTACTGTTTTTCTTTTAATTTCACAAACCTGTTATGTCATGTCACAATAAATCTGAGACATAATTTACCCTATCATTGTTGTGCAACAACTTATTTTAGATGTTGCACATGTTTAAGCAATGCCGTCTTTGATGAGTAAGGTTGTGAAATCGTTCATGACATCTATATGGCAAAAATAAACCTATACAAAAACACAAAAGCCAATAATACACGAATGTTTAGAGAATAAAGATATTCAAAAAACAATTAAAGAAGAAAAATGTGGATAAAAGAAATGCCGTTCATCTTATCTGTCAAATTTCATGTAATTATTTCCTGCTGGAGTTACCACAGCCAACACCACCAATCCAAACAACCAGTTACACCCAGCGCCTTGGGATGGCAACCTATTGCTCAAAAAGTCCCAGAGTAAATCTAACTCATTGCAAGCTGTAAACAATCAAACAAGAGGGATGGAGAAACGGACAGCTGAGAGATAAAGAGAAGGCATGGCATTGTAGTGAAATAACAAGCCGCCGCAGAAAGAGAGAAAGCAGAATTTCTATTTTTAAGGTTAGATGGTGAAAAGCAGACAAATAAAAGAAATGCAGCCAAAGAAGAAGAAGAAGAAGATGACCATAAAGATAGCTGTCTCAGCTCTGTCTGGACCGCTATCAACATCTACATACATACATTCCTACACACACCTACTGCACGTCAACACATTCACACTCGTGTTCTTACCTGTCAGTAAGATCTCTTCTCCTGTTTGTGACTTTTGCTCTTATTGATCTTTTAGCTTGGTATACTTCTATCAAACTTATTCCCTTTCATAGTTTGAATGACTGACTAGCTGAGTCGCTGACCGGCTTGAAGACTACACCACTCACGCTCCTTCAGACAGGCAACAACAAGTAGCGCTGCACAATCTCAAGCCCTGCCCTCCTCTTTCTCTCACTGGGGAGTGATTTGCAAGCACCCAGCCCCTCCTCTTGCTCTTCTGTGTTTGGGAGGAGTTTTCTTTCTTTCTTTTTTAGTAGAGTTGCCTCTTGCCCCCCCCCTCCCAACTCCTGCCTCCAGCACTGAACAAAACTCCCCTCTGCCCTCCTCAACTCCTCCTCCTCTCATCTCGTCTCCTATGTGTTCCCTGCACAGCCTCATATTTCATGCTCCCAGTCTTTTTGTTAGGCACCTCTTACACCAACACCACCAACTGTTCTGGTGCTTAAAGAAGATTTAGATGTGACCTAATGTTGCTATTTGCAAAGAAGAGAGAGGATGAAAAAAATTGGATCTCGGCATTGTTGTGACGTGTTTAAGGAACTTGAGGTCCTCTCAAGACTCATGGACTTTAACTGCTTGACTTAGTGTTGGCTGAAACATAAATCAGCTCATCGTCAGAGTATAAAATCCAGCTAAAGTGTTCTTCTAACAAGGCATTAAAATACAGAAAGAACACTAGAAGAAAAGTTTATCTATGAAGGAGATGAAACAAGTAAAAGTGCTCTACGAGTGTCATTACATCAGGTATGAGCTCATATTGAGTGTGTGTGTGTGTGTGTGTGTGTGTGTGTGTGTGTGTGTGAGTGTGTGTGTGTGTGTGTGTGTGTGTGTAAGCGAGCTGGCCCTGAGGACAACACTCTCTCCTGTCTTTGTCCTTCTGTTCCTTTGTATTGTCTAGAGTTGATAACACCCAGACACGTGCATGTGCGTGCATGTTTGTGTGTGTGTGCGTGTTTCCTTTTAGACAATACGACGAGCCCATCCTGCTGCTATGAAAGCCAAGATGATCAGATGGCCCACATCGGACACAGTCACGACACATGCTCACTTTCTGCTACATGCAGGTCTTCTGATCTTCAGCTATTCACACTAAATTTGTTTGGTATAAATTGCTTAAGATTACGAAAGCCACTGTGCAGGAGGACCGTGAGAGGATTTAGTTATTTTTAACAAACTTCTTGACAGCTACCTGCAGTTTTAAATCACGTTCTTTAAAAGTCTTCTTCAACCTACTTTTCTAAAAATGTAGCAACACAATAGAAAAGAGTCCAGCAGGGCATGTAATACAGTTAAAAAAAACAACAACAAAAACAACGTCACCACATACTTTCTGTTTTGCCTTTTACCATACTTGCTGCAGTTGTGCATGTTCAAACAGTTTTGACACAAAGTTGGAGAAGAACAGTGCTCTGGTGCACCTTTTGGTTTCATTTCCAAGAAAGTGAGTAAGGTTCAACATTAAATCTGTTTACGATCTGTGTTTGACTGCTCCTGCTTCCTGTTAGGACTGTCACAGACAATAGCAATTACACTTGATGAGTAAAAGGTCATCATAACCCTCAAGGATGATAAACAAAGCTATAAAAAGGAAACCTGTGGTGTTATTTTTCCTTCTAATTTCATTGCTTTAGGCTAGTGATTCCGATCCTGGGGTCAAGACCCCCAAAAGGGGTCAAGTGATTCAGTCAGGTGATCTGGGGTAAGAAATACTAAGAAAACAAAATAGTGCCACACAAATTGTGTTTGTTTTTTGTCTTTGTTTCCCTGGAAAATGCTGTTTAGTTATTAAGTTAACAATATAGGAATTGAAAATCAGTGTTTATTTAAACTGTAGGTCTGGACAGTAACTGTGATGAAGCATGAGACATTATATGCAAAAAAGTTTAGAAACTACATAGTTAGCATTTTTTTCATATAGCACAAAGTAAAAGGAACAGGTCGTCAAACTGTCAATAAGACTTTTTGCACAAAAAAACACTTGTAGCTTCTTCACAATAACCAACGCTGTTAGCAGAGAAAGTAGCCTGAGATGTCAAAGCCAGGCTCAGAATTTGCTTCTGTCCTGCCATGAGAGGATTGTTTGGAGGTAAAAATATCACTGGGAGCTGGATTTCATGTTTTCTGCCTGAGTAAATGTCACTCCTACTATTTCACAGAGACATGTCAAATTCTTAAATTCTTGGCATCTTTAGGTATGTGTAGGTGGTATTTCCAGGAAGCTATACGGTGAGTCAAGAGTGTAATCTGTAATCATCTCCTGAATCACCTGAGTTTCCCCAAAATATGGGAGCATGAGGGACGGCAGGGGGGTGGGGACGGGTTGTTAAAAGGGTTTAGAGCAGGACTATAATCCATCAGGATGACTTATATGAGGTCTTGTGATGAAAGCTCTTATCAAGTTGATTGCAAAAGAACAAACCTTTCACATCCAAATGTGCATGCACAGAGGCACATCTTCACACTTTAAATGATCTTTCTCAATGGCTCTGCCCTTTAGATTGTAGCTCTGTATGACACAAAAAATGTGGAAAGTCAAAATATCCCAAAAAATGACTTCCAGCTGCAGCCACTCAGAGTTGAAGAAGTTGGTTAATCAATAAAACACAAAAAGTGTGTGGCAACAGAATAACTGAATAAATCATGACATACAGAAGTTGTTGCTCTAAACAGACAAATAAAAGCAGATGAAAACTCCACTTAATGTTGATCAATAAGAAAACGAATGCTATTATATTATTAATAGTGCTGCATGCAGTGGGGAATCTACAAGATCAAGGCTTTACCTTGAGCTTACCTTGAAAACGCTACAGATCAAAATGTTACCTACCCACGTGTTTTAAAATGTGTTTGGAGATTGCCGTACTCTGATAGCTAAATCCTGCACTTTGTTAATGTGAGTGATCGGGCCAAGCCCTGCTGAAGCATACTGGTACTCAGGCAGCGTAGCATGCTGGCACAAAGCCTCGCTGAATCACTCATTTTCAAACACTGACCACCAATACACCTCAGGGCACCTGTGCTTCCCAAGCCATTAAATAGATGGGTCCGACCTCTCTGCCTACCACAGCTACCACCTGCATATAATTCTATTTACATAGGGCTAGTTTATTACAGTTTTTTACACCCTGTTTTGGTTCCGTTCCATGTTTTGTGGTATTCCTATACCCCCTCACTACGAAGATATGATCTGTGCCAAGAACTTTCTCGTCCTGATTTCATCCTCTCCTCCTTTCTCCCTCTTCTCTCCCCCTCATTCCATTCACTCCTTGTCTCCCTCTTCCCTCCCCTCTGCTCTCCTCCTCCGCTCCCTATTTTTTCCCTTTTTAAATCTGTATACAGACACATGCTTGTGTTTCCACATGTGATCAGAAAAGTTTTCCTCAAAGAGCTACTGCTCACTCTTACAATAAAAAGACAAACTACTGGTCTAAAAATGTGTCTATTTCTGACTCATGCCATCACCGTTTTTGAGAAACATAAAGTGTTGATCTACAGAAGTCTTCTTTGTTTCTCTTGGTTATTTATATTTAAGTGCATCACTCATGATTTGTGGCAGCCTGTGTGTAAATATGCTTCTGTCACGGTTGCATACAGTGATGTGGATTGGCAAGAAAGATGTATAAATTCTGGTGTAGTTGTCATTAGCAATTTAATTACTTCAATGTCTTTATTAGCGACCATGTACACAACAATATTGTCCCACTATATTTTTACAAAGTATAATGCCAAAGGCTACTGAAAGCAAGTGTTGCTTGGGTAATATCTCAGCAGACAAAGGACAACAGTGGTGATTTGTTCAAATGCTTTCAAAAGAACATGTTTATTTGGCAGGTTGTAAGAATGACCACTTGTCTTACAGAAAGCAAATGCTGAAGTAGCATGATGTTGCTTTCGCATATAAAATCTAACAGTAATATGTAAGCCTCTTGTTTCCAATCAGCAGACAAACATAACAAAAGTAGTTTCTTAACCTTATAAAAGTTCAATCTAAATGTAATCAAAATTTAACCAAAGTAAAATGAAACAAAAATACAAATACAAAAAAAATGTAACTCTAGATCGTTTTGGATTGTTACAACCAAGTTATTTAGTGTAGCCTAATGAACCCAAGGCTATTGTAAGGGTAGTTCCATTCTTTTTACTTTTAAACGCTTATCCTAGTCAATATAAGGGCTAGCCCCACATGCTGTATCTTGTTTTGTTCAAAACAATCTGTGCTATCCAGAAAATTAATCGTTTAAAATAGTAGTACATGCAGATTTTCAAAATAGTCTTTAGATAAGAAAAAAAAAAATGTGAATAATTAAACTGTTATGTGTCTCCATAAAATGCTGGCAGTAGAGACATCTTTTCATTATTATGTCGGGAAAACTGTTTGGAATCTGGTGATATCAGAACAATGATGGGGAGCTACTCTATGACTTAGAAATTTGAAAATAAATATGTGGTTCACGCCAAACAGAAATAACTGTCTTTATTTTATTCTGTGAAGTGTTCACATATAGAGTCAGGCTAATTGTTAGAACAAGCAAACCAAGCTAATGTTAGACTGGCTTGTGTTGTATGTCCATGTAATGAGGAGGTCAGAAGAAATTGAAATAAGAGTAATGGGTGCAGAGACGGACATAAAGCTGTATGCAGGTTTTATCTATGATTACATTTTATGTAAATTCAAATATTTGTTTTCGCCAGCACTTTGTCCCACAAACAAGCAACTGACATCGTTGGAAAGGTCAAGTCGTGAGGTTTTGTTTAATATGCAATGCAATGAATACTTCATGAGCAATTCACTGAAGAAAGAGGGATGACAGTTTGGATGCAAAGTGTGTCAGTTGGGTTCAAAGGGTTAATAGATTAGCTTTTTGGAAGACCAATTTATTGTTGGTTCAATGCCAGTGGGGGACTTGTGTTGTATTCCACATCTCTGTCTTTAACTCCATATTATGTGGCTGCTTCTTAACTATTCACTGTCCACCAGAGGCAAATAATAGCAAAAAACAGTCATTCAAGTACACTCCTTAATGTAATTGAATACTACATCATTGTAATCACTTTCCAACTCTTTGATTTAGACAGTGAATTCATGATTCTGCCAAACAGAGCAGTCGAAACCAAAAACATAAAAGAATTTGTAG